CGTTGGAATGTGTTTTCATTGGAATTTTAGATTAATTTTGATTATTCCAATGACTATATTTCCAACGCCTTGTTACTGTAGGAATTTATGTTGGAATATGTAATTTCCGTTGGATTTTTATTTCCAGCACCGTTGGAATATCTAACGTTGTAATCGTCAAAATCCAATGAAAATTCCAATTTAAAACTCATTGCAACGTAATATTTTGTTAGGAATTTTGTTGGAATCCATTAAAAAATTCCAACGGAAATAATAGCATTGAAATATCCATTGGAGTTGCCGTTGGAATAGTTTTATTAGAATATATTTCCGCTAGAATTTTATCAATTTCTTGTAGTAGATTTTGTAAAAAAGTTAACTACTTCAAATTTTTTTATTTTAACATATTTTTAATGGTAAATTAATAATACATTAATACTCATTACATCTTATATTTTTAATCAATAACCAATATTTACATAAAAAAACTATTACTTTCACGTATTTTTAATAAAAAATTAGTAATACACTAATACTCATCTCTTTCGGTTAAATTTCTACGGCTCATTAAGGCCTCGAGCTCGAGCCAAACTCGAACCTTAATGAGCGAGCTCGAGCAAAGACGAGCCAGACTCAAGGCAACAAAAGATGACTGAAACTTCATATTAGCAATTTAAGTCCCGTAAGATTGAATTTTGTTTGGGACTGAAATTGCAGCAAAATACTTAATTAAAGGACAAAAAAACAAAAAAAAATTAAAATTTTAGGACTCAAAATGCTACGATGTTATACCATCAGAACTAATATTGCAATTTTTTCTTTTATTACTTGTGCAAAAAAATACTAATCAATGAGTATTAGTAAACTATCTTCTTTAATATGACATGTAGAATATTGTATTAGGGACTTGAGGAAATTGGATATAAAATACTATTTTAATCATGAAAACAAACTAAAAAGTTATCTCTCAATAACATTAACTTAAGCAACTCAAAACTTCAATTTGTAGTTATTTTTCATCTTATTTAATTAATATATATATATATATATATTAATTCATGTATGTAAAACATTGCCCGATTGAACCAAAAAATAAATAAATCACCACTTATATAACCATTAACCACGCGGGTCGGGTCGGATTTAAACCATCGCAAAACGTCAAATCGGGGCTCTATATAGAGGCAGAAATTTGATCTGCAAGCATCACAATTCCAAAAAAATAATCCGCAAATTCCCGCCCAAACGCCTCACTCCCAAATTGAGATTCGCTACTCGCTAAGCAAGCTGTTCTGTACGCCTGATCTTCCCCCATGGATTTCTTCACCAAACTCCGAGAGTTTATCGCCAAATGTAAACGTGACCGTTCGATACTGGGGGATCCGGAGCTGGACTTCTTCAGGGAGTTCATTGTTGCGTAAGTGTTTGAAAATCGTTACGTTTTCTATACTGATAATCGGTGCTCGTTACTTTTTCTAGACTGAAAATCGGTGCTCGCTGTGTTTGATCGCTAGGTCATTTGATTTGAGATTCGATTTTTGCCTTTTGTGATTCAGTTTGGGAGGAGAATTGGATGTTCCAGAGGAGGAGGACAGAGCTGTGGTAATCTACGCTATAAAATCCTGTTCGGTCATCTCAATCTGTTCTTAACTTCTGTTTGTACCGTTCATTGATGTGCTCTCTGAGTATTTTTGATTTTAATCAGTTGCCATAATCCTTTCTGATTCTATGCGTGTGCTTTGCCTATTCATATGAACACTCTTCAGTAAATTTTACACGGCATCTCGTTTCTATTTGCACCTTTCAGCTATATTTTGATCATGGAAGATTGATTAATAAATGACTACCGTAGATCTGTGTTTTCCTATTAGAATAAGATCGAATCTAGGAGAATTGGATCGACAGATGTGATTGAGAGAGAATTGATCGGGGAGAGAGAAAAAGGAAAAATAGCATCTGAATATTGAGAATGAAAAAAGCGAGGTACAAGGCTATAATGGTAATAATACTCTATAGTTGCTGTTTTGTAAACAGCAACTTTACATAATATGTAAGCAGCAATTTTACATAATGTTGTTATTTCTTCTGCCTGAATCAGCTATATCTATAAGAAGACAGTTGTTCCATGTTTCTAGCTGGAGAAATTATTCTAGAAGGTTGTATATATAGACCTAATAAGTACTTATATATAGGTTAAAAAAAAAAAATTCTTCTGAAGTAAGTCTGCTTTTAACCATGGTAAATATCATCCAATGCATTGATACATAGATGTGGTGTGCTATTATTGGGAGGTCAAATTACTTTATTAAATGATTGGAAATTTTGTGTTTCTGCAGTATTAAGTCTGAGAATGAGTCTTTTGCTATTATTTCATGTCCCCTCAATCACTTGGTTAGGTTTTAAGAATATGAAATTTGTATATGATGTGTTTTTGTGGGGGAGGAGCTTGAACTGTAACAATTTCTGTGACTATACTTGTAGGCAAATGACTGGTTGAAGGAGTTCAAGCATTCATTCATCAAGTGTCCCTCCACGATGAAAGACTTAATAGAGATAAAGTTCCTTCAAAATGGAACAGAATCGAAATATGGAACCTACTTTGAGGAGAAAGGCTTATTAGGTAAGCATGCATTACTTTTCTTCTTGTCGATATATATCTGAGTATAATATTAGTTTATAGTTGATTTATTTTTTTGTAACCTGATGTTCTAAAAGGAAAAGGAGGGTTTGGAAAGGTGTTCGAATGTAAGGGCATACTGGATGAACAATCTTACGCTGTGAAAAAGATTCGAATAGACTGTAAGAAGAAAGGCTTTGATCAACTGTTGAGGTTAGATATGGAACTTCTGTTTACAGAAGTGTTATGCTTTTTAATTATTGGATTTAGACCGTGGTTATATGAATGAGAGGTTCTATTACCTAAGTTTCAGTTTTGAAAAGTTGAATTGCTTGCTTTTAAATCTTGAGAAAGAGAAAGCATGTTGCATGTTGCTTGAGCCTTGTGTTGCCTTGAGTATAGTTGAGCCTTTTAACGTTATTTTTGTGCTAAAATTGTGAATGATTTCATGCTGAGATTGAGCTTAAGTTACAGTTTTCTTTCCAATGCTGGCGGCTAGGATACATATAAGTCTGGCAAGGCCAACTACAGAAACAAGCCGAAGAGTTAATTTCATGTTTAAGTTTAGCAACTTTGAAGAGAAAAAGAAAGAGAAGCATGATGTTGATGTGGTTATTTTTGCCTTGCTTGTTTATGTCATTTTCTGAAGCTGCTCTTATATGTTATTTTTCTGCTGAAATTATGAGTTTTGAGGGGTTAAGTTTCAGTCAAGAATCAGTTTATAAGCTTGCTTAGAGTTGTTAAAAAATTAAGAAAATTAAGTGCTATTTTGATGCATGTTTTGGCCTTATTATTTATGAAGTTGCTAAGCCTTGTCAAGTGCCTTTTTATGTGCTGTTTATATGCTTAATTTTCAGAGTATTGTTCTGCTTTGTGGCCTTAGTCTTTTCTCTCTCTTTATTTCTTTTTGTAGTGTTATGCTTTTTAATTATTAGATTTAGACCGTGGTTATATGAATGAGAGGTTCTACTACCTAAGTTTCAGTTTTGAAAGGTTGAATTGCATGCTTTTAAATTTTGAGAAAGAGAAAGCATGTTGCATGCTGCTTTAGCCTTGTGTGCCTTGTATATAGCTGAGCCTTTTAGTGTTATCTTTGTGCTGAAATTGTGATTGATTTCATGCTGAGATTGAGCTTAAGTTTTCAGTTTCGAAGAGTTAATTTCATGTTTAAGTTTTAGCAAGTTTGTAGAGAAAAAGAAAGAGAAGCATGTTGTTGTTTATGTGGTGATTGCCTTGCTTGTTTATGTCACTTTTTTGAAGATTCTGTTATATGCTATCTTTGCTGAAATTATGAGTTTTGAGGGGTTAAGTTTCAGTTAAGAATAAGTTTATAATCATGCTTAGAGTTGTTAAAAAATTAAGGAAGTTAAGAGCTATTTTGATGCATGTTTTGGCCTTATTATTTATGAAGTTGCTGAGCCTTGTTAAGTGCCTTTTTATGTGCTGTTTATGTGCTTGAATTTCAGTATTGTCCAGCTTTTGGCCTTAGTCTTTTCTCTTTCCTTATTTCTTTTTGTAGTGTTATGCTTTTTTAATTATTAGATTTAGACCGTGGTTGTATGAACTGCTCTTTTCTCTTTCCTTATTTCTTTTTGTAGGGAGGTTACCGCACTCGCTGCACTTAGTCACCAAAATATTGTCAGATACTTCCATGTAAGTTTGTCATAATGATTCAAATAATACTGGTCGTGGGGTTACAGTAATAGTATCTGATGTAGTTTCTTTGTATATAGGCTTGGGTTGAG